CTTTCCTCCTGCTCTCCGTCTTCTCCGCCGCGTCTTCCGCTGCTGAAGTCTTTGGAGAGCCTCCCGCAAACGCCCCCGTCCCGTCTCCTGACGACGAGATAATTCCGGATATCCCCGGTATAGAATACTCCGTTAATATCACGCTACCAGTCGTTTCAGGCACATCAGGTGATCCCGTTGGACCCCCCATCTGTTTTCGCCAAGGCCTTTCGCCGCACCCGGTCCCGATCCCTTGTGGCGAAAAGCCGTCCCGAACGGCCGCGCCGCAAAGGTCGTCGCACACCGCGTCGCAAGCCACGCCGCTCGCCAGCGTGCGAGTCGCATCGAGCGGCGGTAACTCTAGTCGGCCTTTAGCGGGCTCCACACCGAACCTGACTCCCGCTACTGAGCTCTTCGATACATGCATCGGACAAGGTACGGTAATACATTGTTTCGTCTCAGCTTCCACAACCTCTCGTCGTGGTGCGAGAATTCATGATGAGCGTTTCGGTCTGCACTGCCTGTCGCGTCTCTCACGTTACTCTCGCCTCGCTCGCCTCTGCCATTTTATCGATTGTGCAATCGCGTCGCACGATATTTTAGCTGGCTCATAAATCGCCTCTCTCATTCTACTCTCGCCCCCGCCCGTGCCGTTTACTGGAGTCAGGCGTCATTTTGTAACCCGACTGTCGAATCTGCGATTGCGCATTCGCATTCGCACGTCCGCATTGCACGTCGTGTCATGTCCCTGTCTCCTACCCGCTCTCACCCCCTCCATCCACCCTCTCCCCTTTCCAAGCTCGCATGAGTGATTTCGAACCCGCAGCAGCCGAACAGATAGACTTACTCCCCCCATGTTCCACTTCTTGGGGAGCATGCGTTTCAGAATTCCACCCCTTCTCCCCACCCCCCCATCCCCTCCCCCCCCCCCCCCCCCCCACCCTCCTTTTTCCTCCCGCTCCTTACCTTCTCCACACCCTCCGCCAAAAATTTCCCCACAAAGATCCAAGCCTTCCCCCACACTCCCCCCTCTCCCCAGGCCCCGCGTCAGTGACTCTGAACCCGCGGTGGCGGAACAAGTGGAAAGGCTGGCACGTCCCTCTGTTGGAATGCCCGTCCCCCTCTTCCCGTAACTTCTCCCCACTCTCTCCCCACCATCCCCCCACACTCCCCCCAGGCCCCGCATCAGTGACTCTGAACCCACGGTGGCGGAACAAGTGGCAAGGCTGGGGCACCTCCCTCTGCTGGTAAGCCGCTCCCCACTTCCCCAAAAGCCCCACTTCCCCTCCTCCCCTCTTCCGCCTTCCGTAATTCCCCACCTTTCCTCCAACCCCCCACTCCTTTGTTAACAAACCTGCAGCTTTTCTCCTCTTCGCAGGTAATCCGTCAGTGCTCCATTCTCGCTCCTCAACCCCAACAATTTCTTTTCACTGTTCAATGACCATAGCACAGACCCTCACTTTTGGCATAACGCGCATCATTATTTTTCAACAACTAGACCACGAATCTCACTTTTCAACAGTATGGCACTAAACTCCCATCCACCCTCCCCGTCCCATCCCGTGATCTCCCGTCCCCCCCCCCCCCCCCCCCCCCCAGGCTAGGAAACTTCGTGGGAGGCTTCCCAGACAACCATTTCAACCCTTTAATGGACCTCCTATTCTCCCCCTCGGGTCTAAACCTCAACATAGTCCGTTACAACATAGGAGGCGGCCATAGTGCCACTAACAGCCCCCAGTTTCAGTCCGACAATCTTAAATGGCGGGGTATGCCTGGCTTCAAGGCCACGGAAAATTCGGCCTATAACTGGGCAGCGGACGACAGGCAGCGGAAAGTTTTGTTCGCTGCCCGGGCACGGGGGGCAGACACGTTTGAAGCGTTTTCCAACAGCCCCCCGTGGTGGATGACGGTTTCTGGGGATGTTTCCGGTGCAGCCACATACGGGCAGGGTAATTTGAAGGTGGAATATGAGACGGCATTTGCCGAGTTTCTTACTGACGTAGTGCAGAAATTTGCAACAGACAGACGCTGGGGCAAGGGATTAGTGTTCGATACTCTGGAGCCTTTTAACGAGCCACTGGAGGGGTGGTGGAAGAAGGGGGGAGGGCAGGAGGGGTGCAACATTGGTGTAGCGCAGATGAAGCGGGTCCTACAGAAGACTCAGGCTGCGCTGCAAAGGAAGAAGCTTAAAACGAAGCTTGCTTCTGTGGATAGCTTTGTCGAGAGGACTCCGGAAAACGTTGCGAGTTTGAACGGGTTTATCTACCGTTACAACGTGCACGGTTACATGAACCTGGCGAAAAACGGGGCGGATCCGGTCGAGTGGACGAGGCAAAACTTTCGTGACATGAAATTGACGGCGAAGTCTGCGACAAAACCGGTTTGGATTTCGGAATGGGGGCCTTTGGATCGGGATGGGGATGACATGGGTGTTGCACTGTACATGGCAAGATCTATTATTGCTTCCATAAACATTCTGGAAGCTTCTGGGTGGGTGTATTGGCAAGCGATGGACCCATCTTCGACTTGGGGGATGATTAATATCGATTGGTCGAAGACTCCGGACGCGTCTGCAGTGTACACTCCGCCTACAGTCTCCAAAAAGTTTTGGATATTGAAGCATTTTACAAGCCTTGCTCCCAAAGGCAGCCGGAAGCTTGTCCTCAGCAAGGGGAGGTGTAATTTCGGGATTGTGGCTTTCTACACCCCGAAGAAGAGGATGATCAGCGTGTTTGTTGTGAACCAAAAGGCGACACCAAGGAAGGTAAGTGTTGCGATTAGTTGGTGGTTTCAGAAGAATGTTGGTGGCAAGTCGGAGGTGCTATCCTGGAGAACATCTTATTCCGAAGACTTTGCGCAAGTTGACTATGGAGGTCTGCCAATACGCTTTGAGATGCCGGGCAGGTCCTTCGTCTCACTTGCAGTTACGCATGTCAGGCCTTTCTTGAAGATTGATACACCGTGGTAGATATCATATTATTGTATTCTAGAGTATTTGTATGATAAGGTGGTTATTCATCTCTATGTAGACCCCAAGGCGTGTCCCTTGGAGGTCATTTTCTAGTTCGCTCATTCTGTTGGTTGATCACTTTCTTCATTGAGCCGTATTTAGGCAAATGTTTCGACACTGCTGCATATTGAAGGCATTGATAGAGAACACCAATGTTGAGGTGAACTTAAGTGAAGATCGAAATGAAGGGAAGATGTATATGTATGAAACTGGCACTATCAATAAAGCTTGAGAGATGCTCTGGATTGTGCTTGAGAATGGTAGCGAAGCATGTAATGGGAGATTCTCAGTTGTGTGTGCTCTAAACGAAAGCTTCAAGTCATGAATCCCCGACCACACGAAGCTCCGACCTGGTCATAGGCAGGGCACGACACGTCAGCCATCACTGTACGAGCGTCAGCATCTCCCCCACACTGCGATGGCGCATGTACAGTACACGGGTGTGTGTCAGGTGTGTGTGGATGAGTTTTCACCCTTTGCTAGGTTTTGCCTGGTCCCTGTCACCGATAGCGTTCTCCAGTTCCACTCATACGAAATTCAAAATTCGTGTTTCAGAGGGTTGCCTGTACTTGGTGAATTGCTTTGTACATTTGTGAAAACCTCTAAAAACCTTCACACACCCGCACATACCAGACGGATGACACACAGAGTCGTCGCCTGTGCACACTAGAAATGCTGATGGAAGTCGTTAACCCATAACACGTGTCGCTTATGCTTTATAGGTTGCTGCGATGCCGCTTCACGCCTTAGCGCATCACTCTTGCGCTTCGTGTGACTGTCAGGCGAGTGTGTGAGGCCAGGAATTTCTTGCTTTTATTTCTCGTTCTGCCAAATCATCGTCCCGCACGTTGCCAGACTGTTTCCTGCTCGGTTTCCTTTTCCGGTAGCCATGGTTGCTGCTTGCTCGCTGTAGCTTCCATTCGCTGCTGCCTCAGCTCCAAACACAAGCGTTCTTTCCTTAGTTCCTCTTCCTTTGCCTGCACAAGTATTCGTGGTGGGTCAACCCTCGCAGTGATACGTTCGGCAGTGTCACGTTCGGAAGTCACGCTCGGCAGTGTCACGTTCGGAAGTCACGCCCGGCAGTGTCACGTTCGGCAGCGGCGGTGTCACGTTCATCAGTGTCACTTTCGTCAGTGTCACGTAATCTAGCGGCCACATCACGTTCGACAGCATCACGCTCGACAATATCACCCTGGAATAATAACACTGCAGCACGACTGCCTGGAGTAGAGTAGGCTGGTAGCTCAAAGGACTTAGCTTTGCAACCATGAAAGCGGACTCCGTCATATGTCGTCCATGTCGGTCCGTCACCGTCACCGTCGCCCTCCGGCTCCTCGCCTTAACCAGCATCTTCGTTCTGTCAGTCACCGCCTTCTGTTTACTCTCCTCCCAACCTCCTAATTCTACTGTAACAACGTTCTGTTTAAACTCCCTGATTCCAGTCAGCCGAAAGCTGAGAACAATCATAGTCTCGGTCAGCCGAAACATCTCTCAGTCACTGTTCGACTCAGCCGGTTTGGACGGCCGTAGCCTTCGGCTTCCTTCCTCAGATGATCAATCAGGTCAACAAGGTCGATTAGGTGCTCAAGAAATAAGCGGCGGGGAAGAAAGACTAAACAGCAAGCCGTTCCTACATGACGGAGAGGGACAGAATAAGCAGCCGGATCCGTCCAAATTTCCTTACTGGCGGCCGTGGCACTGTGTCAGGCACAAGCCCTTCGTTACTGTCACACGCAGGGATTGCTCCTTGGCTGGTGGCTTGGACAGCGGCAACTGTAGCAGCAGTATCAGAGGCAGCAGCAACAGCAGCATTGACAGTCAAAGCAGCAGTGACAGTCAAAGCAGCACAGGCAGCAGTAGCAGCAGTGTGGGCAACAGTCATAGCAGCAGTTTCCCCAGCATGAAAAGTTTTCCCATCAGCAGCACCAGTGTCCCTAGCAGCAGCAGTAGCAGCAGCAGCAGCATTGCTAGCAGCAGCATGGCTAGCAGCAATATTGTCTCGGATATAGACATGCCTCTGGTTCACCTGCTGCTGCTGCACGCCGCTACAGTGTACAGTGAAGACACCGCGTCGCTGCACGCGTGGAACTGCTCCCAGTGCGTGCTGCCCGAGATGAGGGGATTCCATCTGTTTCAGATCATTGTTGAGCCGACTGCTCGCCTGCAGGTGAGGGTCAGCTTCCCAGGTGGCGTAGGGAGAAAGTACCTTGGCTTTAAACCCAGTGCGTGCTGCCCGAGATGAGGAGCTTCCATCTGTTCCAGATCATAGTCGAGCCGACTGCTCGCCTGCAGGTGAGGGTCGGCTTCCCAGGTGGGCCTCCCTTGCTCCTCTTCTCTCCGTGATAGGATTGCTGATTTCGAGGCCCTCCCCCCCTCCCCTCTTGCGTTACCCCCTGTGACCCCATCTCCCTGTCTGCTCCTGTCTCCACCTGCCACAACAGGCCTATGTGGGGTGGGACCCCCCATCGCGTCTCATCATAGTCGCATTCAGAGGCACCTGCACTTCCTCTCTCCGCAACTGGATCGCCGAACTCGAGGCCCTCCCCCGCTCGCTCTCTCAGTTACCCTGGTCTATGTTTGCCCCCACTCTCCCTCGTCCCCGTCTGCTCCTTTCCTGTCCCCCGGTCAGGCCTATGTCAGGTGGGACCCCCCCTCCAGACTCATCATTGTTGCATTCAGGGGCACCTGCACCTCGTCTCTGCGCAACTGGATCGCCGATCTCGAGGCCCTCCCCCGCTCCCTCTCAGTTACCCCGTTTCGGACCCTCTTGTGTCCCTACTTTCCCGCCAACAGGCCTATGTAGGTTGGGACCCACCTTCTCGACTGATCGTGGTCGCATTCAGAGGCACCTGCACCTCGTCTCTCCGCAACTGGATCGCTGATCTTGAGGCCCTCCCGCGCTCCCTCTCCTACCCGGGTCTGCGCCACGCCCGTGTGCACCGCGGCTTCTACTCCGCTTACCACTTCACTCGTCTGCGCCCGGCCGTGGTGCACGCCGTGCTGTTTCTGATGACGATCCTGCCGGGATCCTTTCGAGTGGCCTTCACAGGGCACTCCCTTGGGGGTGCTTTGGCTACTCTCAGTGCTCTCGACCTGCAGGTATGTGGGTGGGAAGGATTGTGTCTGTGGGGGTTTGTTGTGTCTGTGAGGGTTTGTTGTGTCTGAAGCTCCCTTTTCCTACCCCGGTCTGCGCCACGCCCGTGTGCACCGCGGCTTCTACTCCGCTTACCACTTCACTCGTCTGCGTCCTGCTGTGGTGCACGCTGTGCTGTTTCTGATGACGATCCTACCGGGAAGCTTCAGTGTGGCCTTGACAGGGCAATCTCTGGGAGCTGCCCTCGCTACTCTCAGCGCTCTCGACCTGCAGGTGGGTGGCGTTAAGGGAGGAGAGGTGTCTCTGTGTTTCTCTGTGTGTGTCTCTGCGTATCTCGAATGGTCCTTTACTACTATAGGCGCTGCTATACAACGGGAGGGCAATACGGTAGGTACAGCGTCCACAAGCACTAACCACCGCACTTACCTTTGGCTCGCCTCAAGTGGGCGACCTTGTGATTTGCTGCAATCTGTCTATCTCTTTTCACTGCTTCCCATCACCCACCACCTGGTATCCTACAACCTCCTCCCATCACCCACCATTCGAGTCGTCACCTTTGGCTCGCCTCGAGTGGGCAAACATGTTCTTGTCAACAAACCCCTCTTCTCCCCCTTTTTCCAACCCCTCCCCCTCCCGCAAACCCCTCATCCTTCGCCACTTATTTCACCCGCTAACTTGTATCTTCAGGTGTCCTACGACCTCCTATCACCCGCCATTCGAGTCGTCACCTTTGGCTCGCCTCGAGTGGGCAACCCTATGACTTGCGGCAAACCCTCTCATTTTACCCGCCTTTCTCCGCATGCACCTCCTACCCTTGCATACTCCCATCCCCAGGTATCCTACGACCTCCCATCACCCGTCATTCAAGTCGTCACCTTTGGCTCGCCTCGGGTGGGCAACGCTGCTTTTGCGGCCTACTTCCGGCAGAAGCTTCCTAAAAGCACCCGTGTGACCAACTGGAAGGATCTTGTGCCGCACTTGCCGCCCGCAACCATCGGTTATCATCATGTGGCCACCGAGGTGAGATTTTTTTTTTTTTTTTTTTTTTCAAGGCTTTTTAGAAATAAACTTGCTGCCCGCAACCATTGGTTACCACCACGTGGCCACTGAGTTGATTTCCCTCTCCAAATTTTATTATCTAGGTATCCAGTAATTTACTTGCTGCCATCAACTATTGGCTACCACCATGTGCCCACTGAGGTGAGGGGGTTGAATCAATAATGTGCTATATAATAATAGAACTAGGCATATAAAAGCATTCTTACGACCTGCATCCATGGGTTACCACCCCGTGGCCACTGAGGTGAGAGAGGGTGAGTTGCGAAGCAAGTTGTGCGAGAGGTGAGTTTAATTAATCCCATACTCTGTGCACAATTTTGTGTTAACACTTGTACTTTAAAGGATACGGCGGGAAATCCGCCGTTTTCTTTTTGAATTTGTTAAAATTTAACGGAATATTTCGCACCGCTTTGATGGTATAGGAAGTGGCACCCAGTTTCAGTGAAAATGGCTGGTGGTCCTTTGCTATCTATCTAGAGAAGATGTGCATCTTCACGACGGAGAATGCCGAAAAGTTTTCAGCAAGTGAGTTCGTGATGCTGCAACTCGTGTTACCCACTCTCGAATTGATCGCACACATTGCGAGCATCACGAACTCACTTGCTGAATACTTTTCGCCATTCTCCGTCGTGAAGATGTACGTCTTCTCCAGATAGAGCGCAAAAGACCGCCAGTCTTTTTCACCGAAACTGGGTGCCACTTTCTGTACCATCGAAACAATGAATTTAAGGTTGAGCTCTCCTTCAGTGCAGCTCATCAAGTTCAGCTTCACCAAGCATGCAGAAGCGTTCTGCTTTTGTCTCATTTGTCCTTCTACCATGTACTCTCTCCCCCCCTTCCCACTGCAGGCGTGGATAATCCCTGACTCTGTGCACAACGTCTCCTTCAGTCCATCGAGTTCAGCTTTACCAACTCAGAAGGGGCGTTCTGGCTCGGTTTCTTTACCGCACCTGCTGAGGCAACGCCGGTCGTTGCCCCGGCGGGTGTTGCATCGTCGATCGTTACAACGAGGACCGTTACAACAGCAGCTGTTGCAGGAGCAAACGCTCTTGATTGACGAAAAAGACAGCCACACCAGTCATCAAGGTGGGTTTTAACATGCGCATTATATGCCTGCTCCATCGCACACATGTCTGCCCCATCGCACACACGCTCACACCCTCTTTCTCTGCTGTTTTCACCCCACTTCCCACGTGGCATGCAGGTGATCTGACATGAAACATACACCAGTGTGACAAGAGGCGTACGCACATGTACAGTACAGTACGCACACTCACACGTCTCCCTGTGCTCTTGTTTTCACCCACCACTTTTCATGTGCCACGCAGGTAATCTGACGTGGCACGTGCACCAGTGTGACGAGACAGGCGAAGACCCTTGCTGCAGCAGGTGGGTGGTATTCTTTGCCTTTACCTCATCACCTGTATCTATCAGTGCATGAGTGGAAAATGGGCAGCAGGTAGATGGGCTGGGTTATCTCAAAACTCAAAACATGCAAATGTCCCTGCTTGCTGCAAGTGGGGCTGTGCCCTGTTCCCCTACCCCCTATCATGTTACTCGTACCTCCTGCCGTGTTACCATACATGAGAGGAAAAGAGGTGTTTTTGTATTGGAGCTTCTGGCAAAACACCAATGTCGACCAGGATCTGAAAGGCAGCTAAGGTGCACGCATAAAAAATTCCACAGCGTACAAACCCCTCAGCATGCACCTTAAAACGCTGAGGGGTTTGTAAGCTGTGGAGATATTTTTACGCTTGCACCTCAGCTGCCTTTCGAATTCTGGTCGACATTGGTGTTCTGCTAGAAGCTCGAATATTGTTAGTGTTGGTTGTAGTAGTGGTGAGTTGCGCGAGGAACGAGGAGGAGGACGAGGGCAGGAGGGGAACCTTGGAGAGGAGCCATGCGTTTGTTGATCCTGCATTTTCGAACCTTGGTGCATTTGTCCATCTGATTGTGTGTGCATGGTGTTTTCTCAGTCTCGCCCCTCCGCTGCTTGTTGATCCTGCATTTTCAATGTTTTCATTGTGCATGAACTAACCTGTGCAGTTTTCTTTACCTCCATTATACCCTTATGGTCCCCCCATATCTCCCTTGTTGTATGAAGAAGTGTTTTGGGACGTCTCAAAACACTTCTTCGTACTCGTGGTTTTCTTTACCTCCGTTATACCCTTATGGTCCCCCCATATCTCCCTTCTTGACTTTTGAGTCGACTTAAAAGGCAGTTTTTTTTACCTCATGGTGCCCCCATATCTCCCTTTGTTATTAACTACCCTCGTCCTGCTCCTTGTATGAAGAAGTGTTTTGAAGAAGTGTTCTGAGTGGAGTGCCTGGGGAGTGCCTGGGGAGTGCCTGGGGAGTGCCTGGGGAGTGCCTGGGGAGTGCCTGGGGAGTGCCTGGGGAGTGCCTGGGGAGTGCCTGGGGAGTGCCTGGGGAGTGCCTGGGGAGTGCCTGGGGAGTGCCTGGGGAGTGCCTGGGGAGTGCCTGGGGAGTGCCTGGGGAGTGCCTGGGGAGTGCCTGGGGAGTGCCTGGGGAGTGCCTGGGGAGTGCCTGGGGAGTGCCTGGGGAGTGCCTGGGGAGTGCCTGGGGAGTGCCTGGGGAGTGCCTGGGGAGTGCCTGGGGAGTGCCTGGGGAGTGCCTGGGGAGTGCCTGGGGAGTGCCTGGGGAGTGCCTGGGGAGTGCCTGGGGAGTGCCTGGGGAGTGCCTGGGGAGTGCCTGGGGAGTGCCTGGGGAGTGCCTGGGGAGTGCCTGGGGAGTGCCTGGGGAGTGCCTGGGGAGTGCCTGGGGAGTGCCTGGGGAGTGCCTGGGGAGTGCCTGGGGAGTGCCTGGGGAGTGCCTGGGGAGTGCCTGGGGAGTGCCTGGGGAGTGCCTGGGGAGTGCCTGGGAGTGCCTGGGGAGTGCCTGGGGAGTGCCTGGGGAGTGCCTGGGGAGTGCCTGGGGAGTGCCTGGGGAGTGCCTGGGGAGTGCCTGGGGAGTGCCTGGGGAGTGCCTGGGGAGTGCCTGGGGAGTGCCTGGGGAGTGCCTGGGGAGTGCCTGGGGAGTGCCTGGGGAGTGCCTGGGGAGTGCCTGGGGAGTGCCTGGGGAGTGCCTGGGGAGTGCCTGGGGAGTGCCTGGGGAGTGCCTGGGGAGTGCCTGGGGAGTGCCTGGGGAGTGCCTGGGGAGTGCCTGGGGAGTGCCTGGGGAGTGCCTGGGGAGTGCCTGGGGAGTGCCTGGGGAGTGCCTGGGGAGTGCCTGGGGAGTGCCTGGGGAGTGCCTGGGGAGTGCCTGGGGAGTGCCTGGGGAGTGCCTGGGGAGTGCCTGGGGAGTGCCTGGGGAGTGCCTGGGGAGTGCCTGGGGAGTGCCTGGGGAGTGCCTGGGGAGTGCCTGGGGAGTGCCTGGGGAGTGCCTGGGGAGTGCCTGGGGGGAGTGCCTGGGGAGTGCCTGGGGAGTGCCTGGGGAGTGCCTGGGAGTGCCTGGGGAGTGCCTGGGGAGTGCCTGGGGAGTGCCTGGGGAGTGCCTGGGGAGTGCCTGGGGAGTGCCTGGGGAGTGCCTGGGGAGTGCCTGGGGAGTGCCTGGGGAGTGCCTGGGGAGTGCCTGGGGAGTGCCTGGGGAGTGCCTGGGGAGTGCCTGGGGAGTGCCTGGGGAGTGCCTGGGGAGTGCCTGGGGAGTGCCTGGGGAGTGCCTGGGGAGTGCCTGGGGAGTGCCTGGGGAGTGCCTGGGGGGAGTGCCTGGGGAGTGCCTGGGGAGTGGCCTGGGGAGTGCCTGGGGAGTGCCTGGGGAGTGCCTGGGGAGTGCCTGGGGAGTGCCTGGGGAGTGCCTGGGGAGTGCCTGGGGAGTGCCTGGGGAGTGCTGGGGAGTGCCTGGGAGTGCCTGGGAGTGCCTGGGGAGTGCCTGGGGAGTGCCTGGGGAGTGCCTGGGGAGTGCCTGGGGAGTGCCTGGGGAGTGCCTGGAGAGTGCCTGGGGAGTGCCTGGGGAGTGCCTGGGGAGTGCCTGGGGAGTGCCTGGGGAGTGCCTGGGGAGTGCCTGGGGAGTGCCTGGGGAGTGCCTGGGGAGTGCCTGGGGAGTGCCTGGGGAGTGCCTGGGGAGTGCCTGGGGAGTGCCTGGGGAGGGGGAGTGCCTGGGGAGTGCCTGGGGAGCTTAGTGGGAATATAAGCTTATTGCGTATATAAGCTTATCTTATATACGCACTCGTATATACGCTAAACGCTTTCGGGCCGAGTTTGGGAATACGCTTTTCCGGGCAGAAAAAAAACTTCCCGGGCAGGGTCAAAAAAACCCTGGGAAGGGGGGGGGGGTGGGGGGGGTATGGGGCAGGGGTTTGGGGTCTGAAATTTCAGAGTACATTTTTTTCCCACTAAGTCACATACACCAAGGCCTGCACATAACTTTCCCCTACTCTCTAACTCTCTTACCACTACCATCACTACAATGGTACACTACACCATCACGACCATCACTTATATCCTGGACTCTCTAGGTACTACTCCTTAGGCCTGGCCGCCCACTGCAATGCAAGCCACATATGCCCCCTCTACTTAGCGTACTCGTCTTCGAGGATGTCGTCGTCGCTTTCCTCCTCATCCTCTCCCTTCGCCTCGTCTTCCAGCCCATTGTATCCCGCCGGGATTGGAGGCTCCGCTCCTATCCCGGCCACCACATGTGGCAGGACATCGGCGCGCGTGTGCCAGTTGCGCACAACATTCCAGTTGTGCGTAACATAGACCAAGTCCCTGCACTTGGCGGATCCGAGCCTGTTCCGACGTGCGGTGTGGACGACATCCCAAGATGACCATCCACGCTCACAAGGTGAGGCGGACACGGGCTGAGACAGCACCCGTACCGCGAGCCCCGCCACACGTGGAGCATCGGTCCCATTCCACTGCCACCACTTCACCATGCTATACTTCCCCTCTTTCACCAGCTTCCTTTGTGCCACGGCTTCCGGCATCCCAAAAGAACCCTTCATGTCAAGAAACGCCCTCAGCCCGTCCCCCAGCTCAAGCAAGATGCTGCAAGCGTCATCCCCCCCATCCCCGCGGCTCGCAAGGAACTCGGCGTACTGGCTGATGAACACCTTGAAGACCTTCGTGCACTCGAGATCAGTGCCGAAGATATCTTCCTCCTGATTGGCGGGGTTGAGGATGCGGCCAGCGACATGCATGGCGCATGCGAGGCTGCCGTCCCAGCGGTCTCTGAGGATCTTGCGGATCTGGTCCTTATCCGCGTTGCTCAGCTGCTCCTCGTCCGCATCGAGTAAGTCCCCCACGTCCTCAGTCAACTGAAGCATAACATCGTATATCCTCCCCATCATCCCCACGGCATGCCCGTCCGTCTGCCTCATCGCCTTATAGGGCAGCTTCAGGAGGGCAGTGAAGAAGTCGGCCGTCTTCCACCAGGCGGCATCATGGATCAGCGCAGCAAACGCGTCGCATGATTTCTTCCGGTCCCCTACCGCCCACTCCTTCCACCCCTCGCTCGTCACCATGTTGGTGAGGCTGCCGCGCATCGCACACAGCCGGGAGATGGAGATGTAGTTCGTCCCGAACCTCGTTCCAGCCGGCTTCAGCGCTTCCAGAACCTTCCCCTCCACCAATTCCGGCGTGCGCAGGTACCCGCGGGTCCAATGGTGGTTGCGGACGAAGCTGCTAATCTCCCCTCCCTTGTCGACCACCGGCTTAGCCCACCCCATCTTCCCCACGTCTTCCAGGAGAAGATCCATCACATGGGTGGCGCACGGCACGTCTTGAATGTGCGGCCACTCCTGAATCAGTCGCTTCACCGCCACCGCGTAGTTCGATCCCCCATCCATGCAGAACGCCACAACGTTCTCTGGCCCCACTTCCTCCACCACGGGCCTGAGAATCCCCGCCACGTAACCACCCGTTTTCTTCTCCATGTTGCAGTCAACACAGTCGTAGAAGACGGCGCCCGAATCATTGACGAGAAGAATGTTGGCCTGCGGCCTGCCCCTGCGGTCCGTCATCATGTCGGACGACACCGTCACGCCCGTCCGCTTCCAGCTCGTTTTGACGCCCACCAAACCCGCCTCGATGCCGTTGCGACACGCTACAAGGCCAGCACCGCCGACGTATTTCCGCTTGGGGGGGACGTAGTCTTTCCCGGCGCGGGAGACGTTGTTCAATGCGTTGACCATCAGAGGATGGTCAATGTGGCGCTCGGGGATGTGGAGGGCGGCCCAAGCAAGCGCAAGTGACTCGTCCGCTTCTCGCTTTCGTGCAGCCGTATCCCCCTCGAGGTAATCGGTGATTCGCGCGCGCTTCCCACCGTCAGCCGTCACTGCGGCAACCGCGGCAGCAGCGGCCCGCCTCCTTTCGTCGGCCGCAGCAGTCTTTGCCTCGTAATGCGCTTTCATGGCCCGACGCACATCTTGCGGCGCATCCTTGCACAGCACCACTTCACGGCGTTTCATGCCCTTCCACGACGCGAAGTGTTGCGCGCATCGGATGGCAGCACCGGTGTAGAGGTTGCTGCAGAACTTGCACTCGTACTGCTGGGCTTTACCCTCGACCCGCTTGACGATGCGGAAATGCTTGAAGACGACATGGTCGACGTCGGGGAGATACTCCCGTGCCTCGGTTAGAAGAGTCTGCGAGCTGCCAACGGTGTTAACTGACGGTGTCGTGGGAGAAGTGGTAGTAGTCGACATAGGCACCAGGCGCTAGGGAATGCCCAGTGCTCTGCTGGTAGCGGGAGAAGACCTAATGAGTTGGATGTTGGGGGTGTGCGTGTTTAATAGCGAGTAGATTGGGGGAGTTGGAAGATGGGCAACTGAAGTTGGAATCGCAATTGGTTGTGAAGGTTTTGAATGCGGTACTGACTGTGACCACCAAAATGTGAGGGAACGTGCAAGCGCGACTCGACGTACGTTACTTTCCATTCGCGGCTCAAACTTTCAACCCACGTCCACGCTAGCACACAGCGCGGACGTGACATTTGACCCCGCCAATGTGTTCGTCGTGCAATTCCGAAGCGAACCGTATAGGTTGAATTTTTTTGGCCGGGCTGCCCCTAAAAAAATTTGGCTAGCGTATAGCGTATTCGCTAGCGTTTTGCGTATTGCGTATAAACGCTAGCGTGTATACGCTAAACGCAAACAGTTCTGAGCGTATTTTCCCACTAAGCTGGGGAGTGCCTGGGGGTGCCGTCCCATGATACAGCCCCTCACTCAGTTCCTTTTCCTTCCCCGCCTCTTCAATTGTCTCTCCACCTGCCAGGTCTGTAGTGGCCGATAGCATAGCCAACCCACTTGGAGTATCTGAGTGTGTCGTCACATGCTCTGGACTTCACTTGGAATCCTATCCACCCCTCCTTCCTCCCTTTCAAAACCCCTTCCCTCCTCTCATCTCTCCACCTGGCAGGTCTGTGGTGGGCGACAGTATAGCCAACCACTTGGAGTACCTGGGGGTGCCGTTGCATTCAGGTCACAGTTCATCAGACACCTGAGACACCTGTTCATTATTCTCCCACTTCTCCCCTCCCCTACCCACTTGAATCATCTCCCTACATACCAGGTCTGTGGTTGGCGACAGCATAGCCAACCACCTGGAGTTCCTGGGAGTGTCGTCAGCCTCCTCCCCCACGCCTCGTTACTCAAACCTTTTTCCTTTCCCCAATCAACTCCTTACATACCAGGTCTGTAGTGGGCGACAGCATAGCCAACCACTTGGAGTACCTGGGAGTGCCGTTACATTCAGGGCACAGTTCATCAGACTCCTGAGGCACCTGGGAATACCCCTGGAATACCAGGAAGTACCTGAGGTTCATCCGACAAGACAAAACTGTGGACCGCAGTACCATCACCAGAAGCAGCACAATCGTTAGCACCATCAGCACCATCAGCACCATCAGCACCATCAGCACCATCAGCAGCATCAGCATCATCAGCAGCATCAGCACCATCAGCAGCATCAGCACCATCAGCAGCATCAGCAGCATCAGCAGCATCAGCACCATCACCACCATCACCACCATCAGCAGCAGCATCAGTACCATCAGCAGCAGCATCAGTACCATCAGCAGCAGCATCAGTACCATCAGCAGCAGCATCAGGACCATCAGCAGCAGCATCAGTACCATCAGCAGCAGCATCAGTACCATCAGCAGCAGCATCAGTACCATCCGCAGCAGCATCAGTACCCATCAGCAGCAGCATCAGTACCATCAGCAGCAGCATCAGTACCATCAGCAGCAGCATCAGAATTATCAGCGGCACCATCTGCTACCTTGTATGCACATCATTGGCATGCGTGTAATTGGTCAGGCTCAGGACCCGCCCCTGTGTATAGCTGCTCTCTGTATTCCTTTATTTTTCTGGTCGACTTAAAACTCACCTTTTGTGTATAGCTGCTCTTTACAATCACCTCCGGTGTAGCTCCTGTAATTCATGCATTCATTTGAACCTCCTCCTGTGCTGTGCAAAGCTACTGTACTCTAGGTGGATTCATGCTCTATCCATCCACCAGCCAGTGTCAAATGCGTTCAGCTTACTACCATAATGGTGGTACCGTACCATACGGTACTTCTTTTGTTACCGTGTCATGTATGCATCTTCACATGAAGCCCAGCCCACCCATTGAATACAAATTGTTGGTAGATCTCATCTCAACCTCTATCCAACACATTGAGCTAACAGACTCCTTCCATTCATAGTGTTGATTCGTCTGTCTGAGACTCTTTCCCAGGACCTTAGCTGGTGCATCTTCCAGTGGGTGGCTTGCCTACCGTACCGCTGACTATATCTACAGTACATTAGGTTCTACACTTGAACCACCATGAAGCCAGCGTCAGCATATACATAAACCAATAGCGAGGAAGGTAAAAGGGGAAGCATAGGTCTACAAATTCATATGCAAGCTACAGTAAGGTTGGAGTTAGGGTACAATCCGCTGTGGACCATGTTCCAATCGATGTGTCCGAATCGATTGTGACGCGTACGTACAACATATGCTGCCAGGTGTCAGAATGCCGAGCCGCCCGTGGTTATCGCCAAATGTATTTATCATTGGGTGACGTGAAACACGGAGCAGTCGCCAGCTAATTGCAACACATTCCATCAGTCGCACGCGGTGCCAAATGTCAACTCATGCAGCATGTATCTAGACGACATCTCGAAAAACCCAC